GTAGCTCTATAAGTAAATCAGTAAAACTATAAGGAAAGCATTATCGATTTACCTATAAAGCTATCAGCATTTTAATATATATTGAACCCGATTTGTATCTTAAATGCCTTTTATTTGTGCCAAATATCTTTCAAATCAGGTTAATATCAGGTTATATAATGCTGATTAGTGCCTAATTCACCTCTATTCGACTTGTGCTCTACATATTAAAATTTGACATAACATACAGATTTAAGTGACAATCTGTTCTTAATCATATCGAACGAAGAATTCTAACATATGAGACAATCCAAAATAAGTTTAACAAATTTTATATAATATGAATTACAGATAGTTTCAAAAAGCTCCAAACATTGAGGTGATCTGTGAATAGCAGAATTAAGATCTCAGATCTTACTAGTGTTAGTATAATATATAATAATAATAATACTACATAAAATATAATAATATTCACAAGTCAAATAAAGGCAAATCGGGCACCAATTGGCATCATGTAATCTCAATATAAAACTGATTTGAAACAGATATTTGGTGCAAATAAGAGCCTTTAAGATACAAATCAGTTTTATATAAATGTTCAATATATATTGAAATGCCAATAGCTCTATAGGTAAATCAATAAAGCTTGTCTTATAGTTTTTTCGATTTACTTATAGAGCTATCAGCATTCTGATATATATTGAACATCTATATGAAACCGATTTGTATCTTAAAGGTCTCTTATTTGCACCAAATATCTGTTTCAAATTAGTTTTATATCAGGATTATGTAATGCCAATTGGTGCCCGATTTGCCTTCATTCAACCTGTGATTTATAATGTATATAAATACTATGCTAACTTCTGCGCTTATATTATCTAAAGCAGCTTGTGCTGCCAAATTGAGAACATGATTAAAATATCAAAACCAAAAGCTTTCCGAATCCTACTTAATATTTAATTCATCTAATTTTGTTTCTAATTCTTGCACAAAAAGATTGTTATTAGGGGCATTATCTAAAGTAATAGCAAGAAACTACATATCAAAAAAAAAAATTTAGAATGCGATAATGATTATGTAAGTTGAATTACTAAATATCAGGTACATACTTGATAGTCTGCCATAGATCTACCAAATTGAGAGTTGTATAGGGAAAACCTGTAAGTAAATTTTAATTCATTAAAATATTGTACAATTTTGACCAAACAAATTTCAAGATCAGGCTGATCTTGAAATTTGACTGGTCAAAATCGTATAATATTTTAATGAATTAAAATTTACTTACAGGTTTTCCTTGTGCAGCTCGCAAATATTGGGAGCATATTGGTAAGATATTGTAAGGTAGATCAATATCGGTAATATAATAGCAAAATATTGGGATATCCTGATATCTTTACTTGGCCTAGGAGTAAGATATCAGGATATCTCAATGTTTTGCTATTATTTGACAGATCTATAGCAGACTATAGGATACATATTAGAGAACTTGTCTCCTGGTATATACACGATACAATCTGTGTTAAGAAAGATAAATACTTTTGATGCAATATCATAATTGTCTAACACTTTAAAAAATCCATTTAAGATATTTAAACCACTATGTTTTCTAGTGATTAATCCGAAATCAATGATTGTTTTCTAAAGAATCCAGCTTTCATCGATGTAATGAGCCATGGCAGAAATGAATGCTTTGTTATTAGGAGACATCTAAAGATCAGAAGTAAATGAGATTTTGGAATTATTATTGAAAAGGAATGTCTATATACAGTATTTATTTAAAATGAAAAATATCTTTAATATTTGTAACCTATAAATTGGTCTAATAAAGCAATCACAGGTCGAATTAAGGCAAATCAGGTACCAAATAGCATTATGTAATCCGATATGAATCTGATTTGAAACAAATATTTGGTGCAAATTAAGACTTTTAAGATACAAATCAGGTTCATATAAATGGTTCAATATATATCAGAATGCTGATAGCTCTATAGGTAAATCATTAAAGCTTGCCTTATAGCTTTATTAATTTATACGATATATATTGAATGCTTATATGAACCTGATTTGTATCTTAAAATTCCTATTTGTGCCAAATATCTGTTTCAAATCAAATTCATATTGGGTTGCATAATGCCGATTGGTGCCTAATTTGCTTCATTCGACCTATGAATAACTCGATTAATTTAAACATTTTAAGTTATTTTCAAATCATATAAGCTTGTAGAATTTAAAAAAACTTTAAATGTTGAAAATAAAAAGGCAATCAACCAGAAGATATGATATAATAATACTGTAGTTATTATATTAAAAATTAGTATTCAATAGGAAATCCAGTCGGTCCTCCACAAACATACTCTCTATGAGTGTACATTCATATAATTTTACATTCATAAATGCACTCTATATGAATTTACCTCAATATTATGAACAAAGTCATAGTTACAATATGATTTCTCAAAAGTTATTTATCCAACTACAGGTAAAAATATTGATGTTATTACGACTGATTTTCACACGATGTGCAATGTATAAAAAAACCATTTTACAATACCAGATCATTTGGGTAGTACATGTTATAATTATAATCCAACATCATTTTTATTAGTAAAAATGGTGTTGGATTATAATCATAACATGTACTACCCAAATGATCTGGTATTGTAAAATGGTTTTTTTATACATTGCACATCGTGTGAAAATCAGTCATAATAATATTAATGTTCTTACCTGTATTCAACAGGCCATTTATCCGACATCACACAGAGTGACAATCTGCTAAAAATGTATAGCTGAAACTAATTAAATGTCAGCCCTAATTCTATATGATGTCAGGTAAATGTCCTGTCAGAGAAATAACTTTCAGGGAATTAAGTGACAATCTTTAGTGAGGTTGTATTTAGGTCTGATCTGATAGTACTATAAATAATAATATAGTCAACCCTTTGTAAGTGCACATTGTTGGGAAAACATGTACTTATAGAGATAAAGGGTGTAATTTGAAGTTGTCACTCAATTTTCTGAAAGTTATTTCTCTGGCAGGACATTCACCTGACATCACATAGGGTTAGGACTGGCATTTAATTAGTTGTAGCTATATATTTTTAGCAGATTGTCATACTGTATGATGTCAGATAAGTGACCTGTTGGATAAATAACTTTTAGGAAATCGTATCGTAATCCTTATTAAATGCATAGTCTCTCTAAATGCATGAGGTTGGCTGTATAAATTTATATAGTTTTTATAGTATTTTTATAGTATTACCTTTAATTCTTCTTTTCCAGAATTATAAAGTACCAAAATTATATTTTTAAGCATATCTGCTTTAACTAGTTGTGCTGTGGGGTTCAAATATTGCACAATCTCAGTTAATTCAGGATCTTCTATTAGAGAAAACAGTTGTTAACAACAAATAATCCAACGAGCAAACATATTACGAAGTTTTATATTATTAACTTCAGTGGATATGCTAGCTGAAATCTAAAATAAACTTTTTAATAGATTGATTTTTTTTTTTTTATTATAAAATAAAAAAACTTACTTTTTTACTAGCAAATTTTTCAAGAGTTCTGAATTGTTGAGTTTTTTTTTTTTTTTATATATTCTTCTGTCAAGACATATTTTGCCCAGTGAGCACTTTCTAAATGTCGCCATAATGGTTTGGTTGTACCATTAACTCTACAAGAAAATGGTTCATGGTTGCAGTTCTTGCACTATGCTGTTTTTTTTCTTTCATCTATATAACTTTTATAAAGTAAAGCCACATTTTACTTCTTTCACTTCTATCACTATGCTTGCTATAAGTGCTAACATTATTCTCACTATTGTGATCATCATCTTGATTATTATTAAGGTTATTAATAAATTCGTTGTTATCATCATGGTCTAGTACTGATGAAAAATTTATCATTAGTAGATAGAATATTTTGCAAATATACAGTATGTTTTTTAAATTTAACAAAAGAAATCATACTAACTTTATGTAATGCTATATATGAGTGTTGCAAAGTAAAACCTGTAATTCTTCAAGGAACATAATTATGAACTCAAGATTGTTCACATGACACTAACAAGAAACAATGCAAGAATTTGATTTTTTTTTTGATTTTTATATTATGTTGTATGATGTAAGATATTATGATTTTAAAGAATAAAAAACAAGAATAAGGACTATTAACGACAGGCCTAGGCCTTTTCGACACCAATTCATCGTCATTTGCATAATTATCTACTGCTACTACAACATACATACTTACAATTAATATTATTAACTAAATAAAAATAATCAAATTTGTAATTTTCTTGTTTTCTTACTATATATAGGCTAGTGGGTTTTTAGTTTAAAAAACATTATCTCTTACTCTATAAAGCCGAATTGCCAATACATAGATACTATTATTAAATTTTAAGTTTGGAGTTTCAACTTTCGTTATAAGGATTTGAGAGTTTTAACTTTTGTTAGAAGAATTTGAGGTTTTGACTTTCGATAGAGGTTTTGTCTAACAACTTGTTAGATGAAACCTTTGTTGAAAGTCGAAACCTCAAATTCTAGATATTGCATTCAATATATAATAATTTATTTATTTTTAATTGATATTTATTTACAATACAATACAACATATACACTTATTCATCACAAACTCTACTAAAAAAACCAATCTGAAAATATACGCTATTTTAAGCTTATTGTGTAATAAATGCACTTACCTATTATTAACATCACCAAAAAACCTAATCTAATCCTAATCCTAATCTAGCCTTAAATTCATTGCTAACTCAACTATAATCTTAAACCTACTCAATCATTCTAACTAAGATTGTCAGCCAAATCTTGATTTATATCCAGGTATATAAGTGTGAAAGTATTATACTTATATACCCAGATATGTAACTGAGTACTTGGGTACATGACATGAACTAGAGAAATACCTAGATACAGATGTTACAAAAATATGGTAAATACATTATTAATTAATTCGAAATCTGAAACCTACAAGATTCAGTAATTTTGAAAATTAAGGAATCACCAGCCAACATAGCATGGCATCTAGAAATCAACAAAAAGAAGTGAAAGTATATACGAATTACAAACAAAGAGCCAAAACATATGGAAATAAGAAAGTTCAAAATGCCAATACCAACAATGAAGGTAAGGTATCAGTAAATGCAAGAAACCTACAAACAGCAACAACGATACTAAAATCGTGACCACCAGTCAACATAATCACATCACCTAGAAATCAACAAAGAGAAGTGAAAGTATATACGAATTACAAACAAAGAGCCAAAACAGTATAGAAGTAAAAAAGTTTAAAATGCTAATACTAACAATGAAGGTATTAACAAATACAAAAAAACCTACAAATGGCAGCAATGACACCGAAATCGTGACCACCAGCCAATGTAACTATGGCATCTAGAAATCAACAAAAAGAAGTAAAAATATATATGAATTATAAACAAAGAGCCAAAACAATGGTATAAGCAGCTACACACCAGAGCATCACAGAAACAATATGACAACACCAAAAATCAGTGACACCAACAAAGAACAGCACTAGAAATTGATGACACCAATAAACGATGACACCAAAAAGGAAAGAATACTAGACACTGAAGACAAAAAAATAAAATAAAAAAATAAATAAAAAAATCTAGTAGCAAAAAAAAAATAATATAAAAAATCTATTGCTATATATCACAGATTTAAAGCCAGGTTGCGACATTTTTGCTGATCTGTGTAAATAAAAATTTACATATACTGAAGTATTTTAATATGTTCATGAACCTGAATATGTTCATGAACCTGAACATGTCATGAACCTGAACATGTCATGAACCTAAACATGTTCATGAACCTGAACATATTCATGAACCTGAATCTGAATATGCTAATTGGACAAAATTAATAACATTATATCTTTTTTAATAATCCAGTTCGAATTAGAAAATCTGATTTTAGAATAATCTGCATGAAATCTGTGAATTAAAAACTTCACTAAGTATATAACTTCATTACAGCAAATACGCTATATGTTGTAGTTATTATGGCTACACTCAAAATATTATCATGTATATAAGTGCTTGTTTTCACCCTTAGTTGAGAGCAACTTTTGCTCTTCTAAATTCCTCAATAAATATAGATCACATACTAAGCTCTCTCTTACAATAGTTACAATATACGTAATGTCTGATTGAAGAAAAAGAAGTACTTGCAAGAATAGTTCTAATTATTATAGATCAGAATACTGTAACTAACTATATTGAATTACAATTTATTTATAGGGAAAAGTCAACATATTTGAATAATTCAAATATGGTTATCATTACGAATATAAAATTGGTACTAAAAGAAATAGGATGTTTATTTATCATCAAACATTCAAATATGAGTATGTGAGAGTGAAAACCTGTAATTTATCATAATAATTTATTACTGTATTATGATCAGTTACAGGTTTTCACTTTTATGCACTCATATA